GTGTTGTGAATTAGTTTGTGTTGAGTGAGTGTTTAGTGTTTAACTGTCACTGAATGTGTCTGTCAGCTCAAACTATACAATTACAGTATTTAATGTATGAATGTATGTAAACAGATTATGTACAAGTTTAGATAAATTACATCTCTACTCACCATAGACAGAAACACTGAATGTTTTTGATGTCAGATTCGCTCCACTTATCTCTAGTGTATAATCTCCAGTGTGTTCAGTTGTGGTGTGTGTGATGGTCAGAGATCCAGTTTGATTGTCCAGCTTCAGTCTGTCTCTGAATCTCCCATCAGGAACATTATCATATGTGTAGAATAATCCATATATTTTAACGATTTCAGCTATAATGTACTTTTCAGCTCTATATTTCCACAGTATATTTTCTTTATATATTTCAGTGAGATCAGTGTGTAGAGTAACAGAGTCTCCCTCCATCACGGACACTGACTGTATTTCATTTGTTTCAGCAGCACACACACCTGGAGAAAAACATGAACAGGTTTCAGATTAATGCTCTTGTTGGTTTAGAAAGCCTGAGATCTGTTTGTAACATTTAACAGCAGCAGAGACAACACACTAAATGAAAATATATATGAATCAATAATTTGATCTTTAATGTGTTTTAAAATGATTTACTGTAGAGCGAAATAAAAAATATGACATCAAATATAGCTTGAAATAACAAGTTTAAACATGCTGAATATATTCAACACATGTTTTATTACTGAATTTGACTTTTGTAGTTGTTTATGATTACTGCAAAAGTGTTTAAAATTATTGAAATTATTATTTTTTTCTAATTTCTAGGGAGGATTTGCATCTGTAATCATTTAAATTAAAATATCATAAACAACAAGAGAGATTTGATCACGGCAGATGAAAATAATCTAATGTGAACTGCAGCAGGAGTTTATATTAATATATAGTATATATTTATAACTTACCGATCAGACGGCAGAAGCACAAACTGAACAAAACAAACACGTGAAACATTTCCTGATGTAAAAACACGAGCAAAACTGATCTAAACAAACACAACAGATGTAATGTGGCGTCTGAGCAAGTCCTCACTCGACAGTCTGACCCTCCTATTACACACACACACACACACACACACACACACACGCACACGCACACAAATAATATACATGATTTAAAAAACTCCTTGCTGACACTCAAGTTCCCAGCATGCACTGCGGCAGGAATGAATGATGTAGATACTGTGAGTGAATCTCATTGTTGTTATTTACTGTTCCTCATTATGAGCAGATCCTCGTCTTTCCAAAGCCGATTGAAACTGAATTATTCCAACTTTAGTTTTATAATTGTTTTAATAGATTTAAAATGATGCATTCAAACTCCACTTTCCTGACTGTGTTAAATATTTAAAAATAGAAGAATATTGTCTGAATATTGGATTAATTACTATTCATGGTAAAATAAAAACTCTAGTGATTTTAAAATTGTTGTTTATTTATTCAGTTCTCAATTTTAATCATATATACATAAAGGGAAAATGTAGAGAGTTAAAAGTGTGTGATCTGCAGGTTTAGTGATGTTCGAGTCAGACTGAAACTGCTGCGGTGGGTTTTCTTCAGAAATGTTGTTTGATCTGTTGGTGGACACACACATCTTAGGTGAGAAAATGGGCATCAGAGCTGGTGTGTGTGTGTGTGTTTAGTTTGTAGGTGAAGAGCGTCTTCCTGTCTTGCTTTTTAATCTACACAAACATGTTGAGAAAATCAATACACACACTATGATCACACAACACTGCCATACAATAGTTTAGCTATTATCTTTTATATTACGTTAGAAAAAACACACATTTTATACATTCGTGTACTCAGTTTCCACTGAGGTGCTTTATTATTACAGGTGTAAATGTCAACATGCATGCAGTAATTTTACACAGTTTTCTTTTTCTGTTGTTTATGATCTGACTAAAGACATTTCTAGAGGTTTATTGAGTACAATCTCACGATGGTGAATGACTTACTGCAGGTTTGCAATGATCTCTTGGACATATGAATGCAGTGTGTGAATCAGGATGTGGTTTGTAAAGTTGTTGAAGGTCTAGAGACTCATGCATGTTTCAGGTTGATGATGATGGACAGGTTGATGGCCGATTTCGCTGGTACTTGTCACTAAGTGAGAATAAAGTTCATTCCATTTTTCTGAGAATGAAAGTGTGTATCAATGATGTTCTTCTGCTGTTTGTTTGCATGTGTTACATTTACCCAGCAATACAAACCCAGCGAGTAATGAACTTTAAAAGCATTATTTAATAGGCCTACAGTATATTTATACACTAGAAGATGCTCTAATATGCATATGGATTAAAATATGGTTTATTATATTATCATCGTGTCATCTACATCTCAACATTTACACTTGCTGGACGATAAACAGGTGAAAAACATCCAACAGACTTGCAGTGAAGGAGAACCTGAGCATATCTGGAGACTAGAAGAGGTCGACTTGTTTGTTTATGAAAATTACTACATTTATACATTGCTTCCATTCTAGAATTGACAAAAACAGGATATGATCTTTATATGTGTGTGTTTGCGCGTGTGTGTAAAAGGATGTTAAGAAGCTGCTGCTACTCTTACAGGATGTAAGTCGGCTACTGAAAGTCCTGCGTATCAAAGCATATGTGAGGTAATAAGATAATAATAAAACTGTGTCCAACGTTCCGCTGGAAGTGAACGCTTGCGCGTCGACGTCACTCATTGTTTACACAGAGATTTAAAATATCAAAATATTAAGATATCAAAATCGTCTTCCATTGCCATTTCCTGTATATCGAAATATGTTTAGATCTTCACAGTGAAAGGTAACGTCCGAAATCTCTGTGTAAACAATGAGTGACGTACACGCGAGAGAGATCACTTCCGTCGCATGCGCAGACCGAAGCGCCCGCGCCCTCAGATCAGTTGGACGTGGCTGTGATTACACGAGGTAAAAACGATATAAATACTGTTCATTTTCTCACACAAACCGCTCGTTTCGTGTCTTAGACCATTAATGTGTACTTACATTTACGAGTCATTAAATCATGTTTAATTTGGACTTCTCTGTGCATGCTCTTTGAGGTGGTGACCATAGACCTCCATTATATGACTGACCTAAAAATATCAAAATTGAAAATACTGCGGAAACAAAGACACCTACATCTTGGATGCCCTTGAGGTAAGATAAAACATACCAAAAATTAATTTCAAAGTGAACTATCTCTTTAATAAAATAAAAAAGTAGGCCTAAGTATTCAAATTCAATGGCAAATTAAACTTGCTCTATAATGACCATTAATAACTGCATGAAATAGGAGTCTAACTCACACAACCGCGTCTAGCATCAACAGAGAAGATGTCTGCCTTGCAGCCAGCAAACATTTATCAATTCCCGATTAGTCATGTGACCATACAACAGATCACATGATCCTGGGTGTTGAGTGAATGTGCTGCAGTGTTGTATGCCTGCCTGAGTAGAGTCCCACACAATTGTTACCGTTGCTTTGGCGTTTGAAGTGAAATTGGGTTTGTTTTATTTGTGATTGAGTGCACTTATTGAGTGGGAACCCGGTTGTCTGTTTGATTCTTTGCCACTTCTGATTACATGTTGTGCTGCTTTTTAGTGTTGTATAATAAATCCTATTGGGTTTTTGTTGAGGGAACCAGTGTGATGCTAACTGTCGGTTAGTCTACAAAGTGGCATCATACCTTCACCACTCTATTTACACCACCGGCTCCGCTTCCGGCCTCTGTCCCCGCCACTCCTGGATCCAACATGGCATCACACGGATCCATCAAACCTCCGTCTGTGCCACTATTGGCAACATCCCTTTTGTCCGTTCACATGGGCTTCCGGGCATCATCCGGTCTCTGCCCACATAAACCAAACCACTTCCTGTTCCTCTCTCGCTATTCCTACCATCATCTCTTCCCTGGTTTCTACCAACCTTTCCGCCAGGACATATTTCGAATCATCAGCCTGTATTGTGAGAGGCTTTGAATTTGAGCACTGGTACCTGTGGAAGAGCTGCTTTTAGTTTCTGGAGGAGGGCTGTGTTCAAAAACGACTATACGCACAACCGGCACATCCGGGAACACTTAACGGTCAATTTTGTCGCCGCCCCCTTTTGGGGGAAACAAACTACTCCCTATAGACTTCAATATAAAATAACGGCAAAAACCAACGTCCGTACACAGCCGACAGACGTAAATAACTTAAGAAATCACTTATATAAAACATGTCAAGTAATTATATGTCCACCCTGCCTGCCATAGAGCGTGAAAGATACATTTTTTTAATGCCCGTAATCAACTAGCCCAGGCTGCCTGCCATCATCATCATAAATTCAATTTTTACTTTTAAAAACAAAATAAAATCATTCAGGGGCTTACCTGGTGACTCGATGAGATACAAGTAAATGTCCGGGTAAGACACCTCTGGCCACTGGGTGGGGTTGTTACACCAATTTGACGCTGGGAGAATTATAAAGGGACGTGTTTTTAAATTGCCAAATTAAGTTTGTGTATGTATCTTTCACGCTCTGGCAGGGTGGACGTATAATTACTTGACAAGTTTTATATAAGTGATTTCTTAAGTTATTTACGCCTGTCGGCTGTGTACGGACGTTGTTTTTTTGCTGTTATTTTGTATCGAAGTCTATGGGGAGTCTAGTTTGTTTTCTTTTCTTCCAAAAGTGGGCGTTAACCCATTCAGAGACATTCTATGACGCAGTGCCGGTTGTGCGTACAGCGCACTGTGTCAGGGAATGTAGTGGTATTATTAGAAGAGATTTTCTGCTTTGTACACTAGAGAGCAATGTGTTACATTTGACAAAATATCCACCTGAGTGATAATGTGACCAATGCAATGCACTTATTAATATTCAATTATATTTTGCAAAAAGAATAAAACAAGAACAGTAAATTACAGAAAAAAGATCACAGTGAAGTTTGTGACTTATTTTTTTAATAATAAGAGTTGGGTAAATTTCCATATGTTAAACTGAAAAATAGATGTTTTTTTTTAGCATGCTTTGATGTAAACCACTAAATTAAAACATTTCATACATCACAATAGCACCAAAACGTATATGCAGAGATAAAAAAAAAAAAAATCCTGGCAGAGAAAAAAAATTGAATAAAACCAAAAGTGAGCGGTAATTTCCTTTTAGCTCTAACAAAAGTTACCATAGATGTGGTATTTGATCATTGTTTTTTTTTTTTGGGTACTTTTTCATATACAGACTCCATCTCTGATTTCTAAAAAAAAAAAAAAAAAACTTAGTCATGAATCTGCAGATGTGACAGAACTAGGATAGGTTTCTCTCTGAATAACCTTGCTATTAACAAGACCTCACCCAGCAAGCAATATAAGTCTTTTCACCGTTTAACTATAGACCTAGTACGGCTATGAGTAACCCACTTCTGGCAAAAAAATAACCTTGAATTTGGTTACATGTTAGTGTTTTCCCCCAAAATAACTTGCAAGTTGCATGATATTCCATCATGTAAGCAAAGTAAACAGTGATTACAAGGTGTTTCATTTCTTCACTCATTTTTTAGCATAGACGTCCAGGCAGTGTTTGGTCCGCTATTGTATATCTTTTAAACACAAAATTGCTTGCTGGGATATTAAAGCAAATCATAATCTATAAACACTGACAAATTTGTTTTGTCGTGAAAAGCTACTGTACAGAAAAGATGCTGTTCTGGTATAAAAACTGACTTTGTTATATGACTGACTTTTGATATTACAATAATAAACCAAATTTACTCAAAGTTAAAACCATTTAGATTTACATTTTCTTTTTTATGATTAATAGGCCACAGTCTATTAGCCTGGCTGCGCCCTCCAGGCTAACAGACTAAGGGTAACTGTCAAATTTGTGTATAGGATATGTAGAGATCCATGCACAGATCCTTGTGTTAGAGGGTGTCTACAATGTTGTTTACACAAATCATATTTTTTACAGATGTGGAGAACAGCAGAGTTGAGGTTATGCTAAATTGTGATGAATTTAGCCTAGGGCGAGGAAGAGGCAAACAAGAGTTTCAATCTGGTAAAACTATATATTGCATGCGAAAAGATGGATGCTAAAGTTTGAGCTGACTCATAAATGTAGTCTTTATACAACACCTTTTCGTCTCCTCAACATGGACTGTGTTCACGGGGGCGTTTTGTTGTAGTCCTTAAAATCTCCCTTTGCTTTGAACTTTGGGCGTTGTAACTTTGCAGATGTTATTTATGCTTAAACCGCAACATTTTACACTGCAAGTTAGGGAAACCATAATGAACCACCCCTTTAAACTATCCCTTGTTTGAAGGTAATAATGACCGTTGAGTCATTTCTCATGTCTCTGAATCACGCTAACTGTCAGCAACCACATTGCAATGTGTTCCCTTCTGTGTTGTTGGTTTACACAATGCTGGATCAGTTCTGTCTTCCTCCTGGGTCTGAATTGCATTAACAACGAACACAGATGTTAAAAAAAAAAGTTGTTAATGTTTGTGTCTTATTAATATTTGTACATTTTTAATTGGACTCATCGTCCTGTTTGTCTACTCATTTCCTGCAGATGCAGAAGATCACGACTACAGCAACAATCATCAGAGATCCAGCCGAGATCAACACTATCAGAGACACTGGAGCACCTGAAGGAGAGGAAAGGAGATACATTAATGTCTCTGAATCTGAGATCAGGTCAGTAAACACACACACACACACACACATATGTGATGAGTGGTGGTGTACCTGCACATGTGTGTCTGCAGAGTGTGTTGATGTCCAGATGTGTGGTCTGGTTGCTGATGGGATTGTTCAGCACACAGCTGTAGGTGTTTTTATCCTGATATTCCACCTCCAGAGGTAGAGAGAGACTGATGCTGAGATCAGATGCATTGATTCTGGACAATACACTCATTCCTTTATACCAGGAGAGAGTCACATCACTCACATTCAACACTGAACACACCACTGAACATGATGATGAAGAGCAGTGTGAAGAGTTACTGGTGATGACCGGAACCGGCAGACGAGCTGAGAAACATGAGAGAAAAAGGAGAAATAAGGATGAATCTACACAATTATTTTCGCTGTAGTGTGTTGATGGTCTGATTTTTGTAGCTACACTAAAAAAGTACACTACATTATTAGACATGAAAAAGAATGTATAATAATTCAAATCATGTATTATTCATTTTTTTTAAACATATAGATATATGAAAAAAATTACACTAATTCTGTGTTTTTGCTGGTAATAAAACTAATTTTATCATAAACTTTTTGTCAAATAATGTGCTGCACAATGAGCTTTACTGTTAAAATTAAAACATGGATTATTCCTTAAATTCAGTTTTGTTTAAAAAAATCATAATTTATTCGTATTAGTGTTAATGTATTATTACATTTGGACATTCCTATTTCTACTGTACAATAATACATTTATGTCAAGTTAAACTGAACTTTTATTTTGACGGGTTGCCGTGAAGCCCTTTGGAGTTTCTGTATGGTAATGATCGTCATGATGATAGTTTCACAAATAAAGCGGTTACAAAATCACGAAATGACTTTCAGACATGAGAGTGGATCTAGACTAGAGCCTGGAGAGAAGGTTCAATCATTTCTGTCCTGGAGAGAAGGTTCAATCATTTCTGTCCTGTGCTATAGAGGTGGGCAGATCGATACTAATATCGATAATATCGATACCAACGTTGGTATCGGTATTGATCGATACCAACGTGAAAATATCGATACTTAAGTTTCAGTTTGTCTCGTTTTGCGACCTGACCGTCTGTGTCAAAATGCTGCTGCTCTCGTTCCACTCTCCTGTGGTGTACCGTCACGTGACTCACCACTAGCGCGCTCCAGGACTACCACCAGTCAGGCGCACGCGGCCTCGCATTTCTAGTCTACACAGCAGCACAATCAGAGACGGAGAACTTGTGACTTTGTTTATTAAAGAAAAAAATCCTGAAAAGAAGTGCACTAAAGAAGAGAAACATTTTGTGTTAACATGCTACTTGAAAAGAGAATTTGTTTTTACATTTTTTATTTGTGAAGTAATAATTTTGTAACTTTGTTTAAATAAAACAGAAGTAGCCAAAAGTTGTTTCTGAACAAAAGCTTTTGTAGTACTGATTTTAACTGATTAATAACCCAAAATGCAAATCACAAAAACAAAAGTCATAAAAATTCATTTAGATTTCGGTTGAAGAGGCATCCACCTTAATTATTAAAAACTATCGGTATCGGCGATACTGGCCCTGTATTTACTTGGTATCGGATATATATATATATATATATATATATATATATATACTGTGTGTGTGTGTGTGTATATATATATATATATATATGAAGAGTTCAGATGCAAAAGCCTCTAAATGCCATTTGAAATTTTCTTCTTTAATGATGATTTTTATCAAACTTGTATATTTAAGTTCAGTAATTTCACTTAAATGGCAATGATAACTACCTATTAATTGTTATTTAAGTGAAATTACTGAACTTAAATATACAAGTTTGATAAAAATCATCATTAAAGAAGAAAATTTCAAATGGCATTTAGAGGCTTTTGCATCTGAACTCTTCATATATATATATATATATATATATATATATATATCTATCTGACCTCAGTGAAGTGAGACAGCTAGCAGACGGTCGGTTTAGCCAGTCTGTCTATTTCCTGACCTGAGCACCAATTCATGATTGCTTAATGCACTCTTAAAAAAACAAAAAAACAAAACAAAACAAAAAAATATATATATATATATACACACATATATATATATATATATATATATATACTCATTTTATTTTTTAATTTATTTATTAATCTTTAAAGAGTGCATTACGCAAACATGAATTGGTGCTCATTTCACACATGTCTAGTATCTGTAAAACCACATTTTTTCATCTTAAAAATATATTTAAATTACATCATATCATATGCTCTCAATAAAAAATGCAGAACAATTAGTTCATGCGTTCATGACCTCAAGGCTAGATTATTATAATGCTCTACCGGGTGGTTGCCCTGCACGCTTAATAAACAAACTACAGATGGTTCAAAATGCAGCCGCTCGAGTTCTTACCAGAACCAGGAAGTATGACCACATCAGCCCCCAGTCAACACTTCATTGGCTGCCTATTAAACATTGTATACATTTTAAAATATTGCTGATTACTTACAAAGCACTTACAAGCTCTTAACGCATTATAGTCCTTCACGTCTATTGCGATCTCAGGTTTATGTTTTTGACGTAACCCAAGTCATCAATTTGTGATAAAGTTCGTATGAAGAAAGGAAGAAACCAGGCTCGGCATTATTGATCTTGACCCTCACACTGGGCTTCACACAAACTCTTTCCTCTTTAAATTCAAAATCTTTTCGAACTGAACTGCACCCGCGAATCCTCAATCTGTCGTGTCTCTTCAGCCACCTTTCCTCAGTGGCCTTAAACAATCTCTCCACACTATTACTGCAACACGTGGTTTATCATAATACACTTGACCTACTTACTCATCTCTCATCTAACAGCTCTCTCTCTCTCCCTCTCTCTTTCTTTCTACACACACCATAAGAGAGCAGCGTTTGTGGCCATTTTGTATGTTTGAATCCTCAAAATTCAACGTTTTGAATGTCTGATGCACTGCATGTTTCCGAGTAAAGCACTGTGATCGTTTAAAGATTCGATTCACAGTAAATGCGGTGTGTTTGACTCGTGTGGGCGTTTGAGAATGAAATGTGATACCATCTTCTTCCCAGAATCATGATGAGAATCGTTTATAAATATTTTTATTTTAAAATATATAATTTTATAACATTATCTATCATTATTAAATAGTGTTTAATTGCATCATTTCTTTATTAATTTAATAAATATATTTTTAATAACAATACAAAATAAGTGTTTTTTTGTCTTTAGCTGATTAAATGCCTTGTGAGTTTTCTTGATCTCAAACTATAACATTATAATATATAATAAAATTAAAGGAACATAAAGAGTTGATTAGAAGTCGAGTTTAATCAGCATTTGAGGTAAATTTTGTCAAAATAATGATCACTTGCCACTTTTTTCTTAAAAAAAGAAGAAGAATGGAGGTAACAGTGAGTGACTTAAAATGGAAGTCAATGGGGCCAATCTGTGAGACTGAAAAGTTACGTTTAATTTCGTCACTTGACATCACAACAATGTACATTTTGATATAAACCATTTTATAGCTCAAATAATACATAGTGTTAACAGAGGAATTAATGTTTTTATAACCAAATTAGTTTCATATTTCAACTTTAAAATACTTTTAAAAAAAGACCTCATTGACTTCCACCTCGATTTTTAAACATTTCTTGACAATTAAAAAATATTTTTGAGGTAATTATCCTTAAACTATAAATGCTGTTGATTGAGCTTGTACTGAACACAAAATATCCCTTTAAAAAACAAAAATACACTGTGAAAAAAAATGTTAATGATTTGTAATCACAACATATTTTCTTTTGTCAAATCAACTGAAATAATTTATGTGCTTCAGATTTCTGATGATTAAATCAATCTCCTTCATTGTATTAACTCAATTTTTCCATTTCAATGAACTTAACAATTTATGGCAACCAGTTAAAAAGTTAAACCAACAATATTTTTTTACAGTGTATGTGCACTGTAAACCCAAATAATGTAAGTTGGTAAAACTCAAATAATTTAAGGGTTAAGAAATGTAACGTTTAAGTTAGCAGAACTTGTTAGTTTTTAACATTTATATTAATGTTGTTTGTGTTTTTATTTTGTAATCATACATTTTAATCGCTCTTAACCTGAAATATTTGAGTAAGCTCATTCATCCACTTAAAATGATAATGTACACACAACTTATATACTTTAAGTAGTGGAAATTTGCCTGGGTTTAGCTAATTAAAGCATAAAAGCTAATTTAGCATTTGCATAGCATAGCATTTGATGCAAGAGTGCAACAATAAAAAAAGCACATTAAACACTACTAAATATCCCTCGTAACATGAATCCGACACAAAACATTATATAACACTTAATTTTAGCATTTACTCCCCCTTAAAGTGTCATGACAATTCATGCTTGGAAATAGCAATCCCAACCCAGTTTCAATTTAATTTAAGTTTGACTACATTATAAGAAACAAGTTCATAACAATGAAATAATTTAACTTTTTTTATGAACTTGTTTCTTTTAATTTAGACACAATATTAAGTTGGCCCTACTCAAACCTGTTAATTATTTTGAGCGATAGTGTTACAATGTAAACGTTTTAACAAAGGATCTCCACTCACCATAGACAGAAACATTGAATGTTTTTGATGTCACTTTCGCTCCAGTTATCTCTAGTTCATAAACTCCAGCATGTTCAGTCGTGGTGTTCATGATGGTCAAAGATCCAGTTTGATTGTCCAGCTTCAGTCTGTGTCTGAATCTCCCATCAGGACCATCATGAGTGATGAAAATTCTATAATCTCGGCTGATTTCAGCTATAATAAAATATTTAGCTCCATATTTCCACAGTATATCTTCATCTTTATGTATTTCAGTAAGATCAGTGTTTAGAGTAACAGAATCTCCCTCCGTCACTGACACTGAATCACCAAACACACCTGATGAACACACAGATTTACACAGATTACGGACACTGATGGTTTACAAAGCCTGAAATCAGCTTGAGAATATTCAAAACAAGCACAAACACAAAACAAAATGTAAAATATTAACTATAAAATATCAACCTTATTGGTGCAGCGCATCCTTACAGTTTCATTTACTGTTTAAAGTTTAAAAATGTATTGATAATAAATGCTTGATAATTATTGCAGACTATAAGTCCAGTTTTAATTTTTCAGATTATTTTAATATGTATTTTAAATAAATTAGATATTTAGATCACTGGGTCGCAGTCTGCACTGTTCATTTGCTGGACATTTTCATTTCCATGACAATTGTATATTTGTAGATTAATAGCTGCAGAAATATTTTTTAAAAGTAAAAGAAAATATGATATATGAAAGCTCAATGGAAAGGACACAGTTTCTGATCATTTATATTCACACAGTGGAGATTTCCATTTCATTCATTTCCATTTCCAGACCTGAAAATGTCACTGTAAACTTCCTAATCTTGAAAGAGACTCAAAGTTAGCAGATCTTGTATTATGTTCATAAAATAATATTCAGAATTATTTTCAGAATTCAGATTGAGTTCAGAATTCTTTTGTTACATAAAAGCAGATGAAAATAATCAAATTCGAATTTACACTGAAACAGGAAAAGATCAAGCCATAAAAATGCTTTTATAACTTACCAGTCAGACTCCAACAGCAGATAAAGAATCTAACTAATGTTAGGACCCTGAGATATTTAGTGTTCATATCAACTGTCCTTGAGTATATTCTCTATCTCTATCTCTATCTCTTTGTAGACATGGTTGTGTTTCAGGTGGGCGTTAACCCTGTGAAACTGTGGAAGACTGTGGTTGGTCCTGCTTTACACCTGACCCAGATATAAGGACCACCCTAAACACTAAATGGAGGCCCTTGAGCCTTGTTGGTTTAGTGCTTTATGCCATTGTGCTTTGTGTCTAGTTTAAAATTTGGTTATGCTTCTCTTTACCTTGTTCATTTCCCCATTGTTCAATTAGGGGGGGGTTGACTGCTTTTTTTCTTTGCATGATTGTATTTATGGGGTGCAATATAACATGTATTCGTGGTTTTTCTTTTTTTAAAAGTCTTATTTTTCATAAACTTCACCTTTATTGTCAGCCGCTTTCCTCTGTCCTCGAACGAGCGGTTGACATCCCGAGTCTATGAAAACACTCCCTCAGAAACACATTGTGGGCTCAGATTGGTTAGTTTGGCCCGGAGTGTTGTGATTGGCTAAACTGTCACTCACGTTGTCCGGAAGGTTAACGCCCATTACCTTTACGGGCGGAACGTGAGCTCCGGTCCAGATGTAAATATGTGTCGAACTGCAGTATCAGTCTGAGGCAGAATCAGACCGAGTAAGCCGCGATGCGAGTACACAGAACCTCACCACATACGGCTCTTACTAAACGTTTCTGAATGATAATTTGCTACATTTTTTTTACTTTATACACGTTTGTTTTACACAATAGCATCTGACTATAACATTAGTAGCCAGTCAGTTGCTATTGTTGCCACTCAAACAGCGTTGGCATGTTTACGTTCTTGATCAAATCGAAAATAACGTCATAAAGCATATATACATGAAAAATACGTTTAAAACATTAGCACTTATAGAAAATTCAGGTCCATAATGTTTGTACGAGTTTGTCGTAGACACAAAATAGCATAGGCTAACTAGTGGTGGCTATAAAGCCAGCGCTGGCATTTGAAAAAAACTAAAACACAAGGCTACGTCTGGAATTATACATGCAAATACATTTAAAATGGTGAAGTCTTCGCCTACTTACAGGTTGTGGCCCAACAACTGCTGCCTCTGGTTTTAAAGTCAGAACTGCTTCATGTTTTAGTAACTGTTTCTTGTTGAATCCGGTGTTGAACTCGTGGAGATTCTGGAAGCTGTCTTCCGTAGGGTTGCCACCTTCAGTGAGGCAAAATAAGGGACACCCATACGCGAGATAAATAAATAATTAAATTAATTTTAAAAAATGTGTCAAGGGTATGGAACTGGTTATTTCAACATTACAACTTGACAGCTCAACAATAAACCAAGAGAAAACATGTGAGCTTGCAACAGAAAACATTTTATATTATTATTTTACTTATTTACTATATATATATATATATATATATATATATATATGAACCAGTAATCATGTTTTTGACAATTCTGCATGGATGGGATATTTTTATTGTTTTTATTTACTCACATTGATATTGAATTTCATTTTGAAATTGTTATGTAATTGTTTGTCTATTTTTTATTTAAATAATGTAGCACTTTTAAAACTTTCTTTTAATTGCCATAAAGTGTGTATTACAGATATGACCATAATTTAGTATGCATATATGATTAATATTTAATAATACCAATTATAATGTATTTATTAATCTGTTTAATAACATTAACAAATATAATAGTTGTTACCAAGCTTTGACAAATGTATGGAATACTATAATGTTATATATTTATTTTTCAAAGAAAAAAAACAACAACAAAAACAATAGGCCTATACCGCATGTTCTCTAGACTCGTCACCATTGGAAAAAAGACACTAAAATGCATTCATGCGCAAATTAACTACTCTACCTTTTCTTGTGAAATTGATTTTATTATAATTACTATTAGTAGCCTATTATCTATAGGCTACTATAAAATCCTTATTTGTTTATTCAACTATGTGTGGGTCTATGTAAAATTATGTCCGTTGATATGACTATTTGTATTATTGGTAAGAAAATCTATTTATGTATTTATTTATGTATTCAGACATATTATTAATTCTATAGTAGCCTATTAAAGGATGACATTCTCTAGGTTTTTAATTTCTCCACAACATGCACATTTTTATTATTAAATATGTATTAAATATATATCTCTCTTATTTCTAATTATAACTTATTTAGGCTACTCATTGCCACTGACACTTTCCAGCCAAGTATTTGTTTCCTCTCTCGTCGGTACTTTTGCACACACTTCGTTTCAGAGGTGGACGCATCAAGACCCGCCCTCTTCTGACTCTGATTGGCCCTGAACCTGATGGTATATTAAACAAACCAATCAAACCAACAATGACAGCGAGTATTACCCAATCAAGGGTAGAATAGGACGAGTCTTCACAGAATGCGGGTGGCATGATTTGCATGGGATCATGCGTTCGGAAATACGGGACAAACCGCGTCCCGTATTGATTCAAAACGGGACGCGCTGTTTACTTCACAAATACGGGACGATTCCGTATTTTAAGGGACGGGTGGCAACCCTACCGTAAAATGCGCAGCACAAAGAGCTAGATTACGATCGTCATTTTCAGGAACATAATCAAACATAAATTGTATCCATTGTTGACGAAGTACAGCGTTTGTGGGAAGTTCGAAGACATAAGACCTGACAGCTGCGTGAACACAACACTCGACGAGTCGACGTGCCTCAGAAATATGCGCATGCCATTTTCTGCATATTCCGGAGGGAGGGGTTGATGTAAATGTGTGGGTTAGTGACGTACCATAACCCAGCTGTAGTCCCAATCCAGTCGTTTTTGTAGGCAATTAAACTTCCTGATTTTTAAAAGACGATATCTCTGCTTACACTGAACTTTCAGCGCTGCAACTTTGCAGATACTGTTCATGCACCAACAGCCCCCTTTAAGTGTGTAAATATACTTGTATATACTTTTTTACAAGACCAAGACGCCAATTTATTTGTATCTTTTTCCCTCTTGTTCATGGTTAAAGGGATGTGTTATGAACTGCTCCGAGACTGGGAGATGTAGATCCAAATGCAGCTTTATTAAGAATAGTCGTACAGGCAGGGTCGAGAATTGGCAGACAGGACAATGGAGAATAAACAAAGGGAATCCAAGAAACAGGCAGAGGTCAGGGCAGGCAGCAATAATCAGAATCCAAGAACAATCCAAAAATCAAAAACCAGAAAACAAACACGGAAAACGCTCAGAAATGCAGACACACAGTACAACAAGACTTCGCAGGGATTGAACAAATGAACCAGGTATATATAGACAGACAAACAGGATGATACACAGGTGAATGCTATCAGAGAACGAGGTACAGGTGAGTGTGATCAGTGAAGATGAGTCCGAGCAATGAGTTATGGGAAATGTAGTCTGAGAGTGATACAAGACTAATCTGGAGTGCCTTCTGGTGGGTATCAAGGGCACTCCAGCTGGTGACCGTTACATAGCCCCCCCTTTAAGGAGCGGATTCCAGACGCTCCTCAAAATGTCCAGGAGGGAGGTGGAGCAGAGGCGGACCTGGGGGCGGGATGGAGGGCCAGGCCCGTGGAGCGGAAGAGGACCTGGAGACTGCGGCGGAGCTGGCTGTGGAGGCGACCAGGTCGGAGCAGGCTGTGGAGGTGGCCAGGGCGGAGCTGGCTGTGCGGGAGACCAAGGCAGTGGAGACCCCTTGGGTGGCCACGGCGGTGAAGACCCCTCGGGCGGCCACGGCGGCGAAGACCCCTCGGGCGGCCACGGCGGCGAAGACCTCTCAGGACCAGACACCGGCTCAGGAACAGACACTACAACAGAAATGGTCACAAGGACAGATACAGACACAGAAACAAACACTGGATCGGGAGCAGACACTGGATCGGCCATCTTGTCCGGAGACACTGGATCGGCCATCTTGTCCGGAGACACTGGATCGGCCATCTTGTCCGGAGACACTGGATCGGCCATCTTGTCCGGAGACACTGGATCGGCCATCTTGTCCGGAGACACTGGATCGGCCATCTTGTCCGGAGACACTGGATCGGCCATCTTGTCCGGAGACACTGGATCGGCCATCTTGTGCGGAGACACTGGATCGGAGGTGGCCATCTTGTCCTTAAACAGTGGCTTGGAGGCGGTGACGTGAATAGTCTCTAAATTGGCAGAAGTAACATGAACAGTCTCTGAATATGCCATCTTCTCTATAGACACTGGCTTGGAGGCGGCCATCTTATCCGTAGACACTGGCTCGGAGGCGGCCATCTTGTGCGTAGACACTGGCTCGGAGGCGGCCATCTTGTGCGTAGACACTGGCTCGGAGGCGGCCATCTTGTCCGTAGACACTGGCTCGGAGGCGGCCATCTTGTCCGTAGACACTGGCTCGGAGACGTGAAGCGTCTCTGGCTCGGCAGAAGTGACGTGAACAGGCTCAGACTCGGCAGGGCTGACATGGAACTCAGGCTGGGCTGTCTCGGCGGGACGAGACTCTGGCTGGGCGGAAGTGACGTGAAGCGTCTCTGGCTCGGCAGAAGTGACGTGAAGCGTCTCTGGCTCGGCAGAAGTGACGTGAAGCGTCTCTGGCTCGGCAGAAGTGACTTGAAGCGTCTCTGGCTCGGCAGAAGTGACTTGAAGCGTCTCTGGCTCGGCAGAAGTGACTTGAAGCGTCTCTGGCTCGGCAGAAGTGACTTGAAGCGTCTCTGGCTCGGCAGAAGTGACTTGAAGCGTCTCTGGCTCGGCAGAAGTGACTTGAAGCGTCTCTGGCTCGGCAGAAGTGACGTGAAGCGTCTTTGGCTGGACGGTCTCTGGCTGGACGGGCTGGACGGTCTCTGGCTGGACGGGCTGGACGGTCTCTGGCTGGACGGGCTGGACGGTCTCTCGCTGGACGGTCTGGACGGTCTCGGGCTGGACGGTCTGGACGGTCTCTCGCTGGACGGTCTTCTTGGCCCTCCGAACTGACATCAGCGGCGGCTGTGTCACGGTGGACATCAGTCCTGGACACCCATAAACGGATGCCATGGCTGGCTTGACGGCTGAAGTAACGAGAAGATTCTCAGGCAGTGCGGTTGTGATAACCTCCTCCTCCACCTTCCCTACGGTGAAGGTGGATCCACAAAACTCCAGGACAAAGTCAATATACTGTGCCAGGGTCCAGCTGGGGTCTTCCTCTGGTAAATTTATCCTAATGTCCTGGTCTAGTCCACTCCAGAAACAATCTTTCATCATTGAATCATCACCGGGAACAAGATGACTATAAAAAAGAAACTCCTCCACATACTCCTCAATGATGCGATTGAACTGATAAATACTACACAATTCTCTCAGCGGATCCTGAATGGTACCTGTTAGACTCATGTTGGTCAACGGTGCTGCTGGATCTCAGTGTGGCGAAGTCTTCTGTTATGAACTGCTCCGAGACTGGGAGATGTAGATCCAAATGCAGCTTTATTAAGAATAGTCGTACAGGCAGGGTCGAGAATTGGCAGACAGGACAATGGAGAATAAACAAAGGGAATCCAAGAAACAGGCAGAGGTCAGGGCAGGCAGCAATAATCAGAATCCAAGAACAATCCAAAAATCAAAAACCAGAAAACAAACACGGAAAACGCTCAGAAATGCAGACACACAGTACAACAAGACTTCGCAGGGATTGAACAAATGAACCAGGTATATATAGACAGACAAACAGGATGATACACAGGTGAATGCTATCAGAGAACGAGGTACAGGTGAGTGTGATCAGTGAAGATGAGTCCGAGCAATGAGTTATGGGAAATGTAGTCTGAGAGTGATACAAGACTAATCTGGAGTGCCTTCTGGTGGGTATCAAGGGCACTCCAGCTGGTGACCGTTACAGGATGGTTCACCAAATTAATTTTTGGTATGTTTTATCTGACCTCAAGGGCATCCAAGATGTAGGTGTCTTTGTTTCCACAGTAGTTTCAATTTTGATATTTTTAGGTCAGTCATATAATGCAGGTCTATGGTCACCACCTCAAAGAGCATGCACAGAGAAGTCCAAATTAAACATGATTTAATGACTTGTAACTATAAGTACACATTGATGGCCTAAGACACGAAACGAGCGGTTTGTGTGAGAAAACGAACCGAATTTATATTGTTTTTACCTCTTGTAACAACCATGTCTAAATGATCTGAGGCCGCGGGCGCTTCAGTCTGCACAAGCACCGGAAAGCACTGGTTGTGAAAAAAAAACAGTGCTTCGGAAGCACTTCGGAAGTGAAGCTAAAGGTAAAGCGTCAGTTAGATGATGCCCGTCACCTAAAAAAAAAACTGACACTAAAGGCACTGGCCTAGTCAAACTGAAACCTGCAGTTTTTCTTCTGAATTGTGTGCACATACCAGGTGGTGACACTGGCCATTCAGTGCGTGAGTGTGTAGTTTCTTCCTGTGCTTCTTCTAATATAAATAGCTACTGGGGCAAAAACACAGGACACAGTCCCACCTAAAATATTTTTCACCAGCCGCCACTGGAAAAACACGAGAAACGGTTTGACACTGAGGGAGAATAGCAATAGCATAAGTCAAATATTATTTGTTCTGCTGAAAAAAATATTTGTTCTGCTGAACACAAAGGAAGATATTTGGAAGAATGTTTTAATCAAACAGATCTCATTCCCAATGGGGTCAATTGGGAATGAGATCTGTTTGATCAAAACATTCTTCCAAATATCTTCCTTTATGTTCAGCCGAACAAATAAACACATAGAGGTTTGGAACAACATGAGGGTGAGTAAATACTGACAGAATTTTCATTTTTGGGTGAACTAACCCTTTAATGGCAAGAACCAAAAGGTCGAGCACCCACACACCCACATACACGGACTCTCTACGGGACTTCCCCAACAAGTGAGCTCGCTGTTCGGTTTCAAGACAGACTGATACATTTTACAACTCCATTCCAGAGAGTGTGATTGTTGCTAAGAAGAAGCAAGGAACCCAATACATAGTACCTCGTATGTATGTGTGTGTTTTCTGATGAATGGTTTAGTCTATGAATAGGGTAGGATGAAGGGCTACATTAGCCACTGAATTGAATCCCAACAGTTATGGATCATATTTAGGAACAAATATTTTACTCATTAACTCATCATCATCATATCTTTATTCAGGACATACATATTAAATGGTCCATAGCACTATACAAAATAATGTATTTAAAATAGAAAAGATACCTAACAGTTAAAATTTACCGAACATTACTGTAATGGTCATTGCTACGTCATGGGAGCAGTCTATATCCCTCCTAAATCATTCATTTGTACATGCACAGCCATAGCGTAATTATTTATATTTTACGTTGGTTGTCGTGGTTGTTATCCTGAACGGGCCACCGGTCCACGGGTCTTTGCGTGATCACGGTAGGCTAATGGCTGAATCGGAATTTATAAGCAAGATCACGGGAATCAATAACCTAACGTTACATCCCAGTTGTGCTAAAATAAATATCATGAGACGTCCATCATCAGATGAATGACATGGAAAAGTTAAGTTAGAGCCGCTAAAGCCAGTGCAATACCAATGCGAACATAAACACAAGCTTTTCCCTCCAAAAATATAGCCTAAAAAACATCTAAGTTGTCACCCTGCCTCTCCAAATGCAACACTGACATTAATCAAACGCAATAAACGCTTAACAAGTACTTTGGTGTGCGTTTTATTTTATATTCACCGTTTAATAATGCAATCGCTGCTGTCTGTCCATTGAAGAACATGACAGCCCGCGTTTTGGAACTATACGCCTTATTCACGGCAGCGCCATCTTTGATTTTTAATGAGAATGAAAGCGAGGCTGTGAGGGATAGACTTGCATCTCTTCAATGGGCTGTATTGTTATTTAATGTGTTTTTGGATTGTTCTTCTCATGAAACACTGGAAAAATATCTTTCTAAGAAATGTCAGTTGACAAAAAACTCCCGACAATGTAAGCTGTGGAAAATTTTAAGTAATCTAGCAGTTTTATTCAGCTTTTTACAGCGGATGCCATTGGAAACACGGTAAGTCTATCCCTCACAGCCTCACTTTCATACCCGTCATGGCGCTGCTCTGAATAAGGTCTATTGGGGCTTCCATTCCATGAACCACGTGACAGCCTTGCGGCGACATCAAAGCGTGTCGCAACTCTCTCAATACATGGCTCTGGTCATAACCAATCATCCGATTCAACCAATCAACCAATTTTTTTTTTTTGGTGCTCTCTGATCAATTTTATACATTTGCAAACGTTTTAATTAGACATTACATGATAAAAGGAATAATAATAGCAGATACAAGTCTGTTTAGCTGATGGGTCCATGAAACAAACCCTGACTTTTATGAAAACAACACACTTTAAACAGAAACATATTTAATCATATTAGATGGTAATTGCATTTGATAGGTTTTATTCTCAATAAAACATTGCAATGTGTTTGTAAAATGTGCTTTTATGCATGTTTTTAGACTGAGTTTTTGTTGCATTTCCACCGCTCTGAACAGAATGGGTGGTGCTTCGAAACAGTGAATCATTTTGGTCCGATTCTTAGAAAACCTGTCACTCAGGAGGCAGACCATTTCCGACCACAAAATGTCAACAACGTTGAAAATGCACAGGCACAGCTTATTTTCCCACAGTTTTAGAGAAGTGATGAACCTCTTCATGTTCGTACAAGTGTGGGGTTTCCAGCTTGGTTAGTTACTGGCTATTAATGTTGCTGTGGTTTTTGTGCTGCATGCTGTGGTTAGTATTATCCAGTGGTGGAATGTAACGAAGTACAAATACGTTCGTTACGTCAAATTCGTTACTTTACTTAAGTACATTTTTCACGTATCTTTACTTTACTTAAAGGTGCCATCTGTAAAAATTGAGGTTAAAATATCCCAAAAATGAGCTACACGCATCAAAAGATTGAGAAGAAATAAGGTTGATGATGTCATTAAAAAACTGACACATTATAGTGCTGCCGAGATATTAATCTGAATTAGCATGCTAAATTACTAGCCCCGGCCCGGCAGGTGTCGTAATACCAGTTTCGACCATGGGAGGCGGTATGCGGGCGGGCAACGTTAGCACCAGCCAAACTGCAGTACACGAGTGAGTCGCGCTCGCGCCAGCTTGTGTTTACTTGAACCTGACGTCAGTCGTGTGGAAAATACAGCCCACTACTACATTTCAGTTCAGGGAAGAGTTAAAAAACAATAATTGGTCGATATTATGCATGAGGAATACATTTTGGTAAGTTGTAGCATACTTTATCTTTTAACAGTGTTCGTGTTCTTTTACCATTAGCTAGTAGAGATGATCGGTTCACGTGCGCTAGGGATCTGTCGTGTAAAGCGCCAATACTGTATTTATTGTTTGAATTGCATAATAAAATGAACAGAATCTGAGAGCTGAGATCGGTCTCCGTGTCCTTTTCTGTGCATGACAAAATTGATGTGTGGCGTGAGAGTGTGTGAAAAGTGTTGTGAGAGTTGGCAGCTCTGAAAGACGCTAGCGTGGTCCACATCAGGGAATGCTGTCTGTCAAATTAATTCAAACTAATGATAAAAAATGTAATATGAACAAATCGAATATCATAAAACTAGAAATAATAGCCTGGGCTTTAATTTTCCCATATCGTCGAAATGCACCGACTTGTCTATGAGACGGCCCTTATAATTTAGTATTGAGATGTTGTTCATTTAGTCTCTAATCTCTGAAAATCTCCAAATGCTCCACGTGAAACTGCGGTCTTCCAACCTTTTACTATCGTGTCAATTGATTTGATTAATATGCACGAGGGAGACAGAGCAACACAGCACTCGCCCATATTGTTTGAAGACATGAGAGAGCGCGTGGCCGTGGAGGTATTAGGGACTTTAAGCAACAGCCTCTGGTGGAACGGCAACGGCATTCTGGCGTTCTATTGCGCATGCGCGACATTAACTGCTACTTCTTGACGTTCTACTGTAACCGTCTACTACGGGAGAACAGCTGATTTGCCGTAGTCGTTACTACGTGACAGATTGAGACAGTTAATGTTATGTTTTAGGTTATGTGGCATTGAAATCGTTTCTGTACATCATTAAGTGCTAAAATAAACCCTTCTCTTTCTTTTTAAAATCACTTTCTTTTTGTATTTTGTCTGATGATTAAATTGTTCCCTATGCCGTCCTCTTTACTGTTGCTTAGTGATTTTTGCGTTCTTTAGCTACGGCAGTTAACTGTTTATTTCCGGCTGCCGTCGCCGTTCTATCAGCAGCTGTTGCTTAAAGTCCCTATTTCTGGAGGTATACTGCCCCCATCTGGTATGGAACATGTTGTATGATTTGATTTTAAATCCCAGAGGGCACCTTTAAGTACAATAATTAGTGCCTACTTTTTACTTTTACTTCGTTACATTTTGCAGCAATTATTATACTTTCTACTCCACTACATTTCTACAACTTCTGTTACATTTTCATTACATTTTCTGATCAGTTTTTCCCCTGCCATAACGTAATCTGACTTAATCATTCGTTGCACGTTTGTCTCACCAGTGACGTTTGGTTGCCATAGATACAGTATATCAACCCGGTCACACTAAATGCGTCTCGCACGCAGTGTGTTTATCGTGCAACTCATACGCGAAAATTTGTTTTTACGTGCATAGGAAACACACCGTGTGTAATATATGTTTGGTTTGGTTAGGATTATGGCAAGCCAAGAGGTTCAGAATTACACCATAAATTAAACTCGTTTACTGGCAAAGGAACAATAGGCGAAACTCTGATGCTTTTTTGGTAACAGCCACTAGATGGCGCTTCGGTAGCGCGGCAGCCATATCGGGGTGAAAATTCCAACTGGAGTTACTGGACAACAGCACAGATTACAGTTTTTTTAAGGTAGTTTTTTCTTGCATTAGTGAGTATTTCCATTGTATGCAACTTTACACTTTTACTACTATTAGTTACCAACTCCACTAGGCCTGAAATATATTTTGGACGTTTTAATCCCCTGGATCACAAACATGATGATGTGTTGTGTCCGTTATCCTCACTAATTGCAACTTTGGACATTGGCTGTGTTTTTTTGTTTGTTTACATGGTCTTGCGTCATTAATATAAGATAGGTTAGTACTGAAAAAAAACAAACAAAAAAAAACTGTTTACTGTAAAAAGCTATTTTATTACTGTTATATATTTATTGTCAAACATTTACATTTTAGTACAACATTTATTTGCTGAATTTATTTCATTTAACTTATTTTTGTAAGTAACGTTATGTGTACTTCCCGGGAAACGGTCTATGTTATCATAACTTTATGAACTGATATCACTTTATTCTTACCTATCACACTTGATGTGGAGAGTAATATAATGAATTAAATCCTCAAACTTCCCTGTCTCAAGTTATGTGGGGGTAAAAGCCCGGTTAAGTAGCAAGTAGCAAGTTTTATTAATCATTAGAAAACAGACATTAAGATAATAAACTGTTATGCAAGTACTTTTACTTTTAATACTTAAAGTACATTTAAAATAAAGTACTTTTTACTTTTTACTTAAGTATGGTTGTCATTGTGTTACTTCTACTTTTACTAAAGTAAATATTTATCCGGGTATTTGTACTTTTACTTAAGTACTGAGATTCACTTCCTCCACCACTGGTATTATCCTAATTTTAGTTTCGATTTCAGTTTGCAACTATTATATAGGCCTATAAAACGATATCCGTTAAATAATGTAACGAGACTTTTGAATGTGTTGCTATTATAAAAAGTGTTATTAAAGCGTATTAAACTGCTAAAGAGAGCAGTTCAGTTCAGAGAGCTTCTTTCAGTCAGCGTCGGGCGGGAACGCGCCTTCAATTCAAAATATCGCTTTCATAAATGCATGTTCGCCTCGGCATTCATAAACTCTAATTGCCCATAAGTTGTTAAAGTCATTTCGTTTAAAAATACTTTATTCTATACCGACTCTGGGTGCTTCTCAATATCCCTCCTCGTCTCCTCGCTCCTCCGTCCTCCCTCCTATGACCCGGAAACCGATCGAGCTCAGCCATCTTGAAGGACATCTCAATTCTCTAATTGCACCGTGAGGAGTCGAGGATCGAGGAGATAGGAGGCTTCCTGAGGAGTCATAAGCGAGGATACACAGGTGCATCCTACGCGGAACCGTTATATTGACTAAACGTGACGCACGTGTCAATTCTCCTCCCCCTTCACATCGGTCACAATCATTTTAATTTATACTTTACCTTTGCAGTTTATATAAACCACACATCTCAGATATTTCAACAGTATAGCCTATCTTTATTATTATTTATTATGAATTTATTAAATAACCAAACTTCAACATCATAAGGGCAGATCCTTTTAGCGCTGCTGATGACACTGTGGAGTGACGCTCGAGTGACCAAGAATTCCAATGTATATAAAAAAGCTTTTATTCGATTCCTCTGTCCTCCTTTCCTTTCCTCGCTTCCTTCCCTCGCGTCCTACAGGGGGTGGAGCTGAGACGCAAGGAAAGGAAGCAAGGGAAGGAAACGAGGATGCACAAATAAGAAATGAGAAGCACCCTCTGTTCCAATCGGTTTACTTTTCCTTAACATTATTTTCCATGTCAAACATGGTTTTGAAAAATGCGTGATCTTATCTCCACTTGCAGTTTCCTTTTTTCCTTTTTTCTTTTTTTATCGTTGGCATAAACGGTAACAATACAATGAGATAGGCTATATTCACATTGTCACGGGTGGAAAATTAGTGAAGCAAGGATTCAAGTACAGGAATGAAGGAGCTTTATTTATTTATTTTTAAATATTTTTATTTTATTTGTTTGCAGTCTATGACTAACACAAGCACATGACAAACGGGAGTTGGTGAAACTGAACCAAGTGACTTTGTTTTTCAAATTGATGATGTAATAGCTCATGATTGAGCATAAATTAATTGTAATTGATTTTTTAAAACCTTTTTGTCTACCCTATAAGGATCAACATTTTTCAAACCGAGGCTCACACAAACACATTACCCATTACATACACCATAAAAAATGTCCTATCAAAAGTTTCCTATATTTTTAAGTGATTTATAATGAACTGTTATTTCTTCAGGTGCATCAGGAGTTTATACAGACAGAGTGATGGAGGGAGATTCAGTCACTCTAAACACTGGTGTTAAAACAAACCAACAAGAAAAGATTAAATGGTATTTTAATAACACTCGCATCGCTCAGATCAATGGAGATCTCAGTAAGATCTGTACAGATGTTCAGTGTAATGAAGGCACTGAGAGATTCAGAGACAGACTGAAGCTGGGTCATCAGACTGGATCTCTGACCATCATGAACACCACAAACACACACTCTGGAGAATATAAACTGCAGATCATCGGCAGCAACACCATCAGTGAAACAATCTTTAGTATGACTGTCCATGGTGAGTCATTTTAATAATGTTTAAACTTTAAAGGCTAAGGTTACACATGTGTTAATTATTAGAGAAGTGACTTCCAGTGTAATGTTTAGTTTCGGTTTCAGTTTCTTTTCCAGGGATTTTTCCTGTTTTTTTCTCGTTTCCTTTCTGTTTCATTTGTTACCTCATTGTCTTCCGTTCATTTAGTTCCTGTCAGGTCCTGTTTTGGCGCTTGTTTCATGTCTCGTCATGTGTTCCCCATGTGATTGTGTCATGTTGTCAATGATTCATGTTTGCCATGCGTCTTTCTCCAGTATTTTTTCACTGTAACCTCTATTAGTAAGGTCATATCCATGATTTAGTTTTATGTTTGGCAAATAAACTGGATTTGGGTTCAACAACTTGCTTCCAGTGGCCTAACTGTTACAGTTCTTCATTCTCTTGTGTATAAATGCCCTCACATGTCCAGTATTGTCTTTTCCACTCCTAAGTTTGTGTTCACGCCATTATCTTTTTGTTTGTTTTTATAACAGATGTTTCAGATGTTCCTGGTGTAGAGACGAATACCAAGTCAGTGAAGGAGGGGGAATCTTTTACTTTAGAGCGTGGTGTAGTGAAAAACCCAAATGATGTGATGACGTGGTATTTTAATGAAGCTCGCATCGCTGAAATCACTGGAGATCAGTGTAAGATCTGTACAGATGTTCAGTGTAAAGAGAGATTCAGAGACAGACTGAAGCTGGATCATCACACTGGATCTCTGACCATCACACACACCACAAACACATACTCTGGAGAATATACACTACTGATCAACAGCAGCAGCTTCATCATCTGCCGTCAGCAGAGCATCAGCATTATCAATGAAAAGAGCCTTAATGGAACTGACACTAGTGAGTCAAATTCAGTTCATTTTCCCTTGAGCATGTAATTGTGGCCTGTCTGAAAATGAACAATGTATTATATAATTTAGTTTTTAGCACTGTTTTAGGCGACAAAACACTAGATGGCGCCATTTATCTGTTCACTCGTTAGCATATCTGATGGAGTAAATAAAAATCTATACCTGAAAAAAACCTGAAAAATCTATTGTCGACCTCTTGTGCTAACAAACGCCTGTTTTGTTTTTCATTACAGATTGGGTTGTGGATCTTACTATAGGAGGAGCATGTGTTGGTGTTCTGCTGGTGGTTGTAGGTGTAATTGGTGAGAGTTCAAACTAATTGCATCATTGTAGAACAATAAAACATAGCGTGATTTCAGTTTCATACAGACTGTAGAGTCTCAATCCTGGTCATTTTTTTTTAACTTTGTCAATCTGTTTTCTTCTGACAGGACTGCGGCATAAAAAAGCTTGCTTACAAAGGACGTTGCCTTTCTAAATAATCAAACAACTGGCCTTTAATCGCACAGAGGAACATACAGTGTCATGTACAGTATATTATATGAATAATTGTAATTTTCAGTGACTGTGAAGAAAAGAAAACCCTGGTAATTGGTTAGTTCCATTAATAGAGCTAAGGTTACCATACGATTAATATAATTTGCAGTAAAATGTTACAATTTAACAAATAATTGTATAATTTACGTGAAAAGACATTAAGTGACATTCCATGAATTTAGTGCTTGGCACTTTTTTCAGTTAAAATGTTTTGGTTGTTAAATGAATGTTTACAGCATTATTTTATTGTTGTGTGTTATGAGCAGGTTTTGTGTTCTTATACATGACACTGTGCACTTTACATATAAAAGTATTTACCTCAGCGTGTGAAAAACTGCTTGTGATGAACTATGATTAATCATGGTATTTATCAGTATATTTGTCATTTTATTATCTGTTATGTTAAATGTAAAACAGATGTTGCGTAGCAGCATGGCATTGTTAATTCAGCAGAAATGGATTGATAGATTAACCCGTTTAAATAGAAGTTGATCATTTTGTAAATTACTATGTTTAATTGTGCTATGCTATTTCGTGAGCTTAGAATTATAAGGTTCTATCTCCACTTTTGGTCGAAATTGAGTTTTTGAATCCATTAGGTGTTTCATAATGCCTGTGTGGTGTTATTTTTGTAAAAAAAATATTTTGTTAGTTGTTATTAATAAAATACAAAGGTTCCATCTCACAAAACATTAACCAAATTGGGATCATAAGGTTATATCTCCAGTAGATTCAATATCCAAGCAATGCAACTGTGACTGTTTATCCTGTTGAGTCCTGGACAGTGCCTACATTGTCTAATCTGTCTAATATTTATCCATGTTCAAGTACATGCCTGCAGTTGACTAGGCAGTATTTAGAAAGTGATAATCTAGATAGAAGGTTGGAAAGAGTCATGACAACATAAATTACATAACATGAAGTGCATCATGCATAACAAAACAGACATACAGAATAATAAGGGATGAAAACATAATTTTCATGATGTTACAATATTTTGTGTTAATCTACTAAATTAAACGTTTTTAATGTAAGATGCTTCCTAAATGTTTTTTTACAGTACAGAGGAGTGAGGTGTAGCATTGTGTAATTACTCCATGTCCATGTTCTTTGAAAATATTTTTTTTCTTACAAACTTGCTTGGCTTTGATACTATACTATTATATTATAGTATACTACAAGCTGTGTGCTTGTATTATAAATATATAAATTGATTAAAATCAATGGTTATTTACAACTATTCTTTGAAATGTGGGGTTTTATTTGTAAAAGTGGAGATAGAACCTTATAATTCCAAACAGAACAGGTTCTATCTCCATTGGGGTCATCTTAAAAAATCCCATTTCCAAATGTGCTAGGATTTTGATATTTTATTCACAAAGTACCTGTAGGGTGATGGTCTTGTTGAGCTATAATAGAAGATTATACTTCATAACAGTTTTGCCAGCTGGGATGTAAAAACTTTGCTCAATATCTCAGAACTACCCTAAACGGAGATAGAACCTTATAATTCTAAGCTCACGATTTGTGCTCTGTTATGTTACAGCGGAGGCTCCCGCTCCGCCTCCTCTCCGCCACCAGAGGGAGCCTTCACCGGAGTATTGATCATTGGACATAAACTCAAATTCCCATCATACCTCTTACCTGGGACTGATTGCATCACACACCTGCACCACATTAGCACACACATGCATCCTTGCGAAGTCTTGATTTGCCCCGGTGATCATTTCTGAGCGTTTATTCCTGTTTCTGGTTTTTGAGTTTGGACTGTTTGACTATTCTACGAGTGATATCTGCCTGGCCTGATTTTGGACTGTCTTTGGATTGTTATTATTGCTGCCTGCCCCGAACTCTGCCTGTTATCTGGATTATCCCTTTGCTCTGTCTGCCTCGTTTTGACCCTGCCTGTATGACACTGTTTAATAAAGCTGCAAATGGATTCTTCTGTGTTCCGTGAGTCTTTACAGTTAATGTATATATTTTCATATTTTTTATATATATATATATATATATATATATTTTATATATTTTTTTACATTTTTTTATATATATTTTATAGATGTTTGTATATTTACAGATTTTTATTGTTCATATTAACAAAGGTCTACTTATTTTCTGTATTCCTGTTTAATTGCAGACCTCAAATGCAACAATAAATTTCCCATATAATTGGAAAAACAACCATCCATTTTACCTGTCCTCAAGCCTAACCCTTTGAGTGCCCCCTAGTGCTCGTTCACACACACACACACACACACACACACACACACACACACATTAGTTTTTCCGTACAATGTGTTTCCATGTTGCCTGTCAATATAAAAATGTTGAAGGGTTTCTCTGTCTCTCATACGGGTATGTTTTTCTGTTTTCAAATTGAATACCAGTTCCATATTGTGTGTAGAGTATAGACATACTAGACGTCACCTTGGGGTTCTAAGCAGCATCAAAACCTCCGCCATCTTGGAACAGGGGTCTTGTCATTGGAAGGATCTAGGTAACACTGAGCTCTGCCTTTACTTCGAATTAATTGATGGTGGTGGACTTTTGTGCTGTGTATCATGTTCACACTAATGAAATCTGAACTAAGAAGAATATTTAAAAAATATATTTATTTACATTTTTTTTCTGGAATCAATGATAAATACATGTCTGACCGTTGGAACGAAAAAAAAAACCGAGAAAATCGCATTCATGATGATTTATGGTGATTTTATTTCCGTTAGACCTGTGTCTACATTGACGCTGATGCATTGAAGTGGAGGGGCTCCCCTGTTCCAAGATGGCGGCTCTTTTGACGCATTCGTTCCAATGAACTGCTGTAGCCAAGGTGACATCTAGTGTAGCTGTGGTATGTAGAGTATCACACATGACACGAATGTTTTGAAAAGTTGATATGCACTTTTTTAATATATAATCAGTTAATGTTTATTATAATAACAGCACTGAAGAAAGAGTTTTTGAATCTCCATTATTAGTGAAGGATTTGGTCCAATTGTACTTACACACTTTCCCAACCGGCAAATGTGTTTACTGTTGAGCTACTAGTGGACTACTTACTCTCAGAAAAAAGGTACAAAAAAGCTATCATTGGGGTTGTACCTTTTCAAAATTTAAACTTTTGTCCATTTTAGGTGCTAATATGTAAATATTAGGTGCACATTTTAGGTGCTAATATGTACATTTTAGGTGCTAATATGTACATTTTAGGTGCTAATATGTACATTTTAGGTGCTATTATGTACATTTTAGGTGCTAATGTTTACATGTAGGTGCTAATATGTACATTTTAGGTGCTATTATGTACATTTTAGGTGCTAATATTTACATGTAGGTGCTAATATGTACATTTTAGGTGCTAATATTTACATGTAGGTGCTAATATGTACATTTTAGGTGCTAATATGTACATTTTAGGTGCTAATATTTACATGAAGGTGCTAATATGTGCATTTTAGGTGCTATTTTGTACATTTTAGGTGCTAATATTTACATGTAGGTGCTAATATGTACATTTTAGGTGCTAATATGTGCATTTTAGGTGCTATTATGTACATTTTAGGTGCTAATATTTACATGTAGGTGCTAATATGTACATTTTAGGTGGTAATATTTACATGTAGGTGCTAATATGTTCATTTTAGGTGCTAATATGTACATTTTAGGTGCTATCATTGACATTTTAGGTGCTAATATGTACATTTTAGGTGCTTAAATGTACCATTAAGGTACCAATATGCACCCTTATAGGTACAAAAGTGTATCTTTTGAAAAGGTACAGCCCCAGTGACAGCTTTTGTTCCTTTTTTTCTGAGTGTACTTGGGACACTTACCAGTTAGGATTCGATCTTTGATTATCTTCAGTCTCCTGCCATCCAGTTTGCATCAGTGTACACATTCGTAAGAACTTTTAAGAACTTTTCGGTAAGAAATTTTATTATATGGTAAGAACTTTTATTCTCCGCTAAGTGTTTGCTGCTATTTAATGAACTCAGTCATTGTTTCCTGAACTTACCTGCCAATAAACACCCTTGAGGGAGGAGCTCACGCTACCTTTGTGCTGTATTCTTCTGTTTGCTGACAGGTTGCAAGTCAAAACATGACATAACTGTAAACTGAAATCTCTCAAATCTGATTGGTTGATTGAAATGTTGTTCCAGGAACCAGGAACATGGTCAGTATTTTTCTGTGTTGAGGCATTGAAAGCCAAACCAACGTTTCAAAAACTAAATAGGCAACACAAGTGACGTGAGCATTCACGTGTACTTGCATGCACATTTTCATTTAAATGACATGGTAGTTAGTAAACTGAGTGTCACATTAGCAGGAATGGAAAAAGTCCTTCAACTGCACACCGTTTTCACACCTCAATCATGCCCTCTCAAGCACACCCCAACCACAAAAGCTCAATAATAGGCCGGCACTCTTTTGCACATGCTGCTTGTTTTAGCTACAGATCAAACCACATGTCTATATATATATATATATATATATATATATATAAATATATTAAGCGAATCAGACCACAACAGGTTTTTACTCAAGACTCTCAAACTGAGCTGGTTTTTACATAACATCACGTAGCCTATGTTCATTTTTCAGAATTTTTTATTCCATAATCGCAAAACTTGTCCAAAGCTAAAAATCACATACTAAAGATCACATACTAGAAATCGTAGATCACATACTAAATCCAAATGCCAAATTAGTTTGTTCATCTTATGCAGACGACCGCATACTCTGTGTGATTCTCCTCTCTGGCTGTCTGTAAAAAAAAAAACACCACAAGATTCAAAAATAGAAAACAAGTTTGATTCAGACACACACACACTATCATCCTCCATTTAAAAAAAAATGATTTATTTTTCTACCATATGAATGCTATGGTTAGTTTAACTGTATTATTTGCATCTATTTTCCCTTGCTATCTGCTATCAGAACCGACTGATCTCCTGAACCCATCAGAGCAGAAGACTAAAACTAATCGCGTCCTTATTAGTGTGTGTGTGTGTGTCAGATAATATAAAGCACATTGCAATAAAAATGAACTCACCCTTTTCTGAACATTTCGTTTGTAGAATGTTGGATTAGCATAAATGATCTCTTCATTATCTCGATTATTAACTCTTTCATCGCCAACAACTATAACAAATAAAAATATGCATTAAAAACCAAACATCCAATTTCCAATTCCTTCTTATAAGCATGCAGGTAACACTTGCCTTCTCGATCACTTTTCCTGCAGATGCAGAAGATCACGACTATAACTACAATCATCAGAGATCCAGCAGAGGTCAACACTATCAGAGACACTGGAGGAGAT